AATGCTAACCAAATTTAAAGTCCAAGGGAAACCTCCTCAATCGTTATTTTTTCTATAAAAGAAGTTCTTGTGGGAAAATAACTCATTGAAACTTTTCCGGGGACGGGAGAGGACCGCCCCTCACCACAAAACTGAACAAAAAACCCCTATTTAGAGACATCCCACTGCCCTACATGAAACGTAGCGAAGTTTCGTTACACTTTTTTTTTTACTCAGTGCAATTGGGCAGCACTCACAAAGACTTACCCACAAGGAAATTCCACATTTGAACGACGAGCGTCCAAATGGCGTCCCAAAAACCTTCGCACTTCCCAAACCCTTTTGATGATACAAATCACACTTATTTCTTGAAAAGATGCCTCCTACGCCACACTAAATTTCTTGCAGAATCTGATTCAAGTCGCGGATGCATAAATGGAGTCTGAGGCCGGGGTCCCGATGCCCCGTAGACCTGGTTCGCAGACAATGCACCCTCGGCCGGCTGTTTATGGCCGGCCTGCCGGAGTGCGGGTGAATGACACCCCGGCACGGGGCTCGGCCTGGGGCCGCACGGAGCAGATCGCCAGCTTTTCGTGAGCTCGGGGTCGGTCTTCAACTCCTAAGTCCAAGTTTCAGGTCAAAATCAAAAGTTTCGACCAAATTTTAAGAAAATATTTTTTGCGAAGTACTGATTATTTCTATATAGCTAAAAAAATTGTTCTCATTGCTCTGTTAAAAGTGGCCGCAGAAACTTAATTTTTAGATGGAAAGTTCGAGATTTTCATCCCGAGTACGATGGTGAACATCCCATCAGCGTCAAACGACGCGTTAGAAAAATTTAAGCTTTCAGGTAGCGAAGGGACCGCCTCCCTTTTGTATGGAGAGGCCTGCTTCACAATGGGCTGCGCCGAGGCGACGATGATGACAGGCTGATTTATAACCCCAAGACCCAAAATAGAAATTTTCAAACGAGCCTTTTTCCGATTTTGGAAAATGCGGCAATAGATTCGTTGTAAAAAGCTGGGTCGAATGGTGTTTGAATTCCTGTTCTACGATAATTTCTACCGAAATCGCGACGAAAATGGGCCCAAAAACTGGTCGGGGCCCGGTGCCGCCTGCATTGCAGACGGCTCCTTGACGGCTCGCCTATTGTCCGCCCGGCGCGTCACCCCGGACCCCGACTACCTGCCTCGAGCTCCGGTGTGCGACGGAAACAACACATCGGCCGAAGCAGCCTGTCTCTCTCTACTGGTGCAGGACCTGCAAATCTGGGTAGTTTTCTAACGCACGGATCTCGAAAACCACAAGTCGTGGCGTCATCGGAAAAACTTTGCCGTAAAGAGGAAGATTGGGCCTAGGGCACTTGGGGTTTCGTTTTCTCTCCGTATTATTAGGTCCCTCTCAGTGGCTTTCCAAAAATCACTTACTTTCAAGGCGTTCTAGGAGTGCTCCTGGAACTTGGGACGCAAATCAAAACACCACTTGCCCTTCATATGGTCACTGCCAACATGTGTGCAAAATTTCAGGTCGCTGCGACTTTTCATTCTCTCAATCGGTGCTTCCAAAAATGTTAAAATTTCGAACTTTGAGGCGTCACGACGCCTAAACTAAGCGTCGCAGGGCAAAACGGTTCGACATGATGGTTCAACACATCAATCACTATCGATTAGCGAAAAAAAAATTTTGCGCTCCTACGGCCTTAAATGAAAGATTCGGTTTAATTTATCTCATTTATTGTTTTATTGTTTACAGATGCTTTGAAACTTAGGCCAGCCCCTTCTGAATTTCTTTTGAGCTACCTTCCCGATATTATCAAGAAAATAATTTTGGATATTAAGGCTGAGCCAAGTGGTGGAAGCTCAAAAGCCTTGTTTCTGTCTCAGTTAATAGAAATGTCTGAAGATGACAAGTGGCTGAACTTTGTACAGGATTTAGGAAACTTCATCTCTGGATTGTGTTAGAAAAGCAGGCCAAAGTTTTACCTGCTAACCAGTACGAGGAAATGCAGAAGAAACTGAATTCCTATTTAAATGGTAATATCGAGAACCTTGGGAACAAATTGAAGCAATTATGTCCAGTGGAAATTGATTGCTCCTTGGCTCAGCGCTTAGTGTTTCGAATTGCAACCAAACTGCTACAAGAAACACAGATATGGGCCATGCAAAAAATGAGACCCACTTTTACCGAAGAAGATTTAGTACTACAGCAAGAAATGAGTGAGTCTGAAGAGAAAAGCTTCTTGGGAGAAATAGGTGGCTTGCTAAGAAGTTTTTTTTATGAAATCACTTCAGCAGTCCAACCAACAGAGTCTAATGCAGAGCCAATGCATAAAAGAAACATTTGTTGATGGTCCTCATCCCATCAGTAGGTCTCAATTTCGGAAAAAAACTAACTGGTTTTCTGGAGAAGATGAGTGCATTACAGTAAGTTACCATGCTGCCCACTTTTTTAAAAAAATTGAACTTGAAATAATACCAGCATCTGTGAATCCATGTAGCTCTGAGGAGGTAGTTGAAAATGTATTCGCTTTCCAAGAATTGTTGGACCACTGGTACCATTTGACAAAAGCCTACTTCTCAGAAGAAAATTCCCTTTTATTTCTGAGGAAGATAATAGCTTCATATGTCAAGTTGTCCGTTGTTTTTGAAGAGAAGAGAGGCAACAGATTGGAAGAAAAATCGATGAGAGCATCCACAGCCCCACTCCGCACTCATCTTCAACACAATTTGTTGGAAAGGGAAGAAGAGGATGAAGATTTAATTTAGAAGATTGTTAATTCAATTAAAGAGCCAATACTGAAATATTTAATAAGCACATAAACATAATATTTGACATAGAAATAATTCAATCTCTCTTTCTTAACTGACATGTTCAATCCTTTGACACAAATTGTATTATTATTTTAACATCTTGTAATAAAATGACTAAAAATTCTGAAAAAATATTGTGTTATTTATATACAATTTCTAAAGCACACACAACTAAGAAAGGATCAGGGGGCATATACTTTCATTCCTCATTCATTCGATCTTCTTGGTGCTTTTCTTGATTGTAAGGGAGTAGAATCCACTTCAAAATCTTTTCTCTTCGATACTGACGTATTTCCTTTCCGAGATGCCAGAGAAAGAGACCCTTGGGCATGTATGTTCATGCGATCATCATGAACATTTTTGAGAGTGGGGTTTCTATTGTCACCATGCTTTCTTCGTATTTTACCGAAGTACTGTTCCAATGGATCTTGATTAAAGACCCTTGCGCAGACAGATGGAGCTCCAACTACATCCAGCATGTACCGTATTGCGCCTGTGATTCCCTTCACAGTCACTTGCATGGCCCCCAAAGCTTGATGGCTTATAATCATACGGCTTCTTTCCTCATTAGTAAAAATCCCTGGTCTGTTGATAACTTCAGTCTTCCACTCTTCAAAGTAATTCAGAAATTCATCTTCTAAGAAATTAAGCCTTTCATCACTTGAGGATGTGAATGGAAATTTATCTGGATTATTCCCTTCATTGGTCTCATCTCTTCCGTTCATACAATCAAAAAACCTATTCATTTTTCTAATGAATAGAACAAGTTCAGATGTGTCAAATGATTGTAAAAACTCGTGGCTTGACAGATCCTCAATGCAATTTCCTGTTGAGTTGCTGAGAACCTGAGTGGCCAGCAAGACAGTCATGCAACTAAAACTGGTTAATTTTACATGTGCTTTAGTAAGTTTATGTCCTCTGAATTTTTGATCTTTGGTTGCTTCAAATAATGCCTCTATTACCTTCCAGGATAAGTACTGGTTATTCTTCCATAATTTTCTGGTCTTCTTGTGTGCAAATGAATTTGCCAGGGCATTCCTTATAGCTTTCAATAAGTGTGGTGGGTCCAAGATGAAAAATAGTGGCCTTGACCCTCCAGCTAAATTCTTGGTGGCATAGCATTGATTCCACAATTTGTCAAGGCGTTCATGCATTAGAATGAATTTCCGATTAACAGATGCACCATCAAATGTAAGCGTCAAAACTTTGATGTCGGATTCCTCTAGATGGTAAATTACTTCCCAGGTTCTATCGAAGAGCTGGCTGGCAGAAAGGTCATCCGTTGAAAAAATAGCCACCACATCTTTGACTTCACTTGTTATGCCTTGGGCCATAAACACCAGCACTTTCTTTGCCAGTCTAGGCTTGTACGTTTTGCTGCTGATCTCATCCTGCATCCTCTTCAGTTCTTCTTCCACCCCGCTTAGTTTGGTATATCTAATGAGTTCTCCAGTTGACCGAGAGAAAACTAAGCCTGATCTAATATGCATCTCGTCAAACATAAGATTGACGTACCAGTGGTGATCTTCTCCTCCACATTTCATAATTTTTTCTTTGATTTGGTCTGTCAGTTCCTGCTGACAACCTTCTTGAGGCTCAATAAAGTGGCTGTAGTCAAATAGACGTCTGCTAGAAGGCAATGTAAATATTTGACTTTCATTAATGAACTCGTGTGCTGAGTCAGAGAGAGAATGTAAATACAGTGCCAAACGAATCAACATGGGGTGCCACCTCATGCCTCTTTTGTCATTGAGAGACAAGATTTTCATCTGAGACTCCCAGAACAGCCTCTGCAACGGAGTCATTTTATGCTGGTGCACCCTCAGTATAGAAGAAAGGTCATCATTCAGAACTTCATCAAGCTTTATTTGGAGAGAATCCAATCTTTTTTGTAAGCGATCAGCGCGTTTCTTTTCTTGCTTGTGCATTTTTCGAAATTTGTTCTTCTTGGCTATAATTGCTTCTTTTGACAAGTCTACATCACGAAGCGTTGGACAGTCATCTGTTTCCTTCTCTCTTCTCAGCTTTTCTCTTTCAAATTTTTTAATTTGAGCTTGACAAGAGAAACAAATTTTACGGCCACCAGGAGAATTAATCAGATAGAGACAATGTGCATTCCTAAAACATGGAGAGTCTACTGATGAGCTGTAATCCAAAAATCCTTTCGCTGATTCCCACATATCTTCATGTGAATCAATTCCTGCACAAACTTTGAATCCTTGAAGTCTTGTCACCAGCTCAAACAAATAATCAGCCAAACTGCCAATATTTTGGGGATCAGGAATGGTTTGACAATCAAAGACTACATTTTCTCTTGGAACAGGCATACCCTGCACAAACAAGCCAACAGACCCATTGGTGTGGTCGTAGTAAATGCAGTTTTGGACAGCAGCATTTTTGTGGTGTTGAGTTTCATCAGTCGCAATACATTGTTTTCCAAAATTTCGGTCTGCCAACCTTTTGGCAGTAACAACTTTAAATTGTCCACTAAAGTTAAAACAAAGATCTGAAAAAAAAAAAAAAGATTATGATTTTTAATACAATACATAGATAAAAAATCTAAAATAATTGTAATGAGTAAATAAAAAGCTCTCACATCAGGCTCCAAGGCTGATGGTTTTTTCTGAACTCCAGCATCAGGTTCTGAAGTTTCGGTTTCCTTGGTCTGATTAGTGTTTTCTTTGCTAAGAGTAGTTTCACACTGTCTTGAAACATTAGAGTCTGATTCTGCCAGAGATGTGACAAGGCCAGATGGAGAACTACCAGGAAATATCTGAAAGCAACCATTTATATATTTAATTGATCGTCAGTAAAGCAAATTAAAACAATCTACAAAATATTAACAAGCACTCTTACCTTGGGGTCAACAGGAGGTTCATTCTGAATCCCAGCATCAGTAGTTTCTGAAGCCTTTGTATCTTTAATCTGTTTGGCACTAGTTTCACAGAGTGTAGTTTCACACTGTCTTGAAACATTAGAGTCTGATTCTGCCAGAGATGTGACAAGGCCAGATGGAAACCTACCAGGAAATATCTGAAAGCAACCATTTATATATTTAATTGATCGTCAGTAAAGCAAATTAAAACAATCTACAAAATATTAACAAGCACTCTTACCTTGGGGTCAACAGGAGGTTCATTCTGAATCCCAGCATCAGTAGTTTCTGAAGCCTTTGTATCTTTAATCTGTTTGGCACTAGTTTCACAGAGAGTAGTTTCACTCTGGCTTGAAAAATGAGAGTCTGATTCTGCCAGAGATGTGACAAGGCCAGATGGAGAACTACCAGGAAATATCTGAAAGCAACCATTTATATATTTAATTGATCGTCAGAAAAGCAAATTAAAACAATCTACAAAATATTAACAAGCACTCTTACACGGTGAAACCAATGTCTGGAAATTTCCAGACATTTTTTCCCATTTCCAGACATTGTCTGGAAATGGCCGTTTTTTTCCAGACAATGTCTGGAAATGTCTACTTTTTCCAGATAATGTCTGGAAGTGGTCAAATCCCAGATATATATCTGGAAAAAAAACGGCATTTCCAGACAATGTCTGGAAATAACATTTTCCAGATAATATCTGGAAATTTCCCAGATAATGTCTGGAAACAAAGGCCTTGACGCCGAGGTCCACGGATTTGCGACCTGGGGGTCCCCGATGGTGTCCTCGAGGTCCCCAGGACACGAGGAGTCCAACGCCGAGGTCGCCGACGCTCTAGGACAAGCGGTTCCGGAGATACGAGGACGTACCACAAGGAGTCCGTCAAAGCAACTTTTTAGTTGGAGGCCAAAATCATCATCGGCCTCTGGCTGCGTTCCACTTGGGTGTCCGGGACTTTTGACTTCAGCATCGTGTTAAGGTAGTGCTAGACTACCCGGAACCCGTCAGAGGTCGCCGTCGGACCACCGGTGCGCCCAGGATGCCGACGAACGTGGCGGCTGTGCCGCCACACGGTTCAACACCGTTGTCGCCACCACCCAGGTGGTCCCCGATGGTGTCCTCGAGGTCCCCAGGACACGGGGAGTCCAACGCCGAGGTCGCCGACGCTCTAGGACAAGCGGTTCCGGAGATACGAGGACGTACCACAAGGTGTCCGTCAAAGCAACTTTTTAATTGGAGGCCAAAATCATCATCGGCGTCTGGCTGCGTTCCACTTGGGTGTCCGGGACTTTTGACTTCAGCATCGTGTTAAGGTAGTGCTAGACTACCAGGAACCCGTCAGGGGTCGCCGTCGGACCAACGGTGCGCCCAGGATGCCGACGAACGTGAGGCACGCCGGAGCGCCGTGGCGTGCCGGGTGCCTAAACGATCATCGCCACCGCTGCGGCCGCGGCCGCTGCCGCCGGGTCCTCCGCACCAACCGCGAGCTTGGACGACGGAGGCCGACGCCGTTGGCACCGACGCCGCCGACGTGTACGTCGACGCCAGAGGCCGAAGCGGCCGTTAGAACACACTAACGGCCGACTAAGCACGTGGTGGCGTCGACGTACACGTCGGCGGCGTCGGTGCCAACGGCGTCGGCCTCCGTCGTCCAAGCTCGCGGTTGGTGCGGAGGACCCGGCGGCAGCGGCCGCGGCCGCAGCGGTGGCGATGATCGTTTAGGCACCCGGCACGCCACGGCGCTCCGGCGTGCCTCACGTTCGTCGGCATCCTGGGCGCACCGTTGGTCCGACGGCGACCCCTGACGGGTTCCTGGTAGTCTAGCACTACCTTAACACGATGATGAAGTCAAAAGTCCCGGACACCCAAGTGGAACGCAGCCAGAGGCCGATGATGATTTTGGCCTCCAACTAAAAAGTTGCTTTGACGGACTCCTTGTGGTACGTCCTCGTATCTCCGGAACCGCTTGTCCTAGAGCGTCGGCGACCTCGGCGTTGGACTCTCCGTGTCCTGGGGACCTCGAGGACACCATTGGGGACCACCTGGGTGGTGGCGACAACGGTGTTGAACCGTGTGGCGGCACAGCAGCCACGTTCGTCGGCATCCTGGGCGCACCGGTGGTCCGACGGCGACCTCTGACGGGTTCCTGGTAGTCTAGCACTACCTTAACACGATGCTGAAGTCAAAAGTCCCGGACACCCAAGTGGAACGCAGCCAGAGGCCGATGATGATTTTGGCCTCCAACTAAAAAGTTGCTTTGACGGACTCCTTGTGGTACGTCCTCGTATCTCCGGAACCGCTTGTCCTAGAGCGTCGGCGACCTCGGCGTTGGACTCCTCGTGTCCTGGGGACCTCGAGGACACCATCGGGGACCCCCAGGTCGCAAATCCGTGGACCTCGGCGTCAAGGCCTTTGTTTCCAGACATTATCTGGGAAATTTCCAGATATTATCTGGAAAATGTTATTTCCAGACATTGTCGGGAAATGCCGTTTTTTTTTCAGATATATATCTGGGATTTGACCATTTCCAGACATTATCTGGAAAAAGTAGACATTTCCAGACATTGTCTGGAAAAAAACGGCCATTTCCAGACAATGTCTGGAAATGGGAAAAAATGTCTGGAAATTTCCAGACATCGGTTTCACCGTGTACCTTGGGGTCAACAGGAGGTTCATTCTGAATCCCAGCATCAGTAGTTTCTGAAGCCTTTGTATCTTTAATCTGTTTGGCACTAGTTTCACAGAGAGTAGTTTCACTCTGGCTTGAAAAATGAGAGTCTGATTCTGCCAGAGCTGTGACAAGAAGGCCAGATGCAGAACTGCCAGAAAATATCTGAAAGCATTTATTTGATTGATGATAATTATTAGTAAAGCAAATAAAAACAATATACAATAAATATTTAGAAACACTCTTACCCTAGAGTCAACAGGCGGATCATTCTGAATCTCTGCATCAATAGTTTCTGAAGCCTGGGTCTCTTTAGTCTGTTTGGCACTGGTTTCACATTGACTTGTTTCACTCTCACTTAAAATGTTTGAATCAGATTCAGTCGGAGCTGTGATAGGAAGGCTAGGTGTAGAAACATCAGGCGACATCTGGAATCAAATTTTTTCAGATAATTATAGAACTTATATTTCCGTAAATAGACAGAGCTGAAGATTTAGTATTTTGATTTAGTACTATGCAAAAAACAACTTACACCAATGTCAAAGTCTGACCAGTCCACACCTTCAAACACAGAGGGCTCAGTAATTTTTTCTTTACTTTCAGTGTTTGCTTGATTAGGTTCATCATTACTCTCGATAATTTTTTCTGTACTTTGAGTGTTTGCTTGATTTGGTTCATCATTACTCTCACTTTCAATCTCACTTTCACTTGTCATTCTATCTTCAATATTTATAAAACCAATCTAATGAGAATAAAGGGAGCATTAGTTCAGAGTAAATGGCACTAGATGCATAAAAGAATGATGAAAGAACGAATATGAACTTACTGTTCTGGGAGGCCGTTTTCTTTCACGTGATAAGAATGTTCTCCTTCTCTTTTTCTTTGGTACATTTAACTCAACCAGATCAACCTGAAAATAAAACGATAATTTAATAATATATCAGCATTTCAAATATATTTCATTACAATCTTAATCATGAAATGAACTGGCTTACATCTTCATCACTCGAGTCTACTTGAAACTCTGATGCAGTAGTAGAAAAGTCTTCTTCAGAAGCTGAACAAATGAGGTGAGCTTCACCAAGAGGCCTGCTACATTTTGTGGCATTCAGACTAGGATTCTGTCAAAAAAAAGAATAGAAGATGTCACATAAGTTCACACGAATATGCTGGCAAGAGCTTTAAGTGAAATCTCACCATACTAGCATCTGCTTCGGAAGAAGCAGACTTATTAGATGAAGCGGAGGCACTTCTGCTGTCCTGTAAATCATAATAGCAAAGGTTTACCACTTTAATTTAATAAGTATTTAGAAACAAAATTCATACATTGAACAACACTCCTAACCTGCTTCCAGGATCCTTTCCTCTTGCGGCCAATGCCACCGCCCCTCCTAATCCTTCCTCTAAATCCTCTGTTAGGGACCTGGGACAAAGATAAGTGATAAACTTTAGTAAATAAGACATACATTCAAAGACACAAAAAGAACAATTTATTAGACCCATCAGCCCAAACAAAGAAGATGAACAGAACGGTAAACATTTCATAGTATTTATAGAACCAAACCGTGATATAGAATAAAAGTAACACACCTCCTCTTCCTCATCTGAAGCCATTTCGCAAATGATACGATTCCCAAGCAGTCACGTTTGAAATCGGTACAGACAGGTACAATGCCGTGAGACGCACGGCACCGATGTAACCTCACACTGACGGCGCTGAAAGACAAACGTAAACAAATCTAAACCGCACTATGAATTTGCCATCCCCGCGACAACATCCGGTCTAGCAGACAGCGATCCAAAACAACACTTCGAATGGCTTTGCTCTTCACCGTCATCTTAATCGAGTCCGATCCAATAATCTGTGGCTCCATTTATGCATCCGCGACTTGAATCAGATTCTGCAAGAAATTTAGTGTGGCGTAGGAGGCATCTTTTCAAGAAATAAGTGTGATTTGTATCATCAAAATGGTTTGGAAGTGCGAAGGTTATTGGACGCCATTCTGGACGCTCGTCGTTTAAATGTGGATATTTCCTTGTGGGTAAGTCTTTGTGAGTGCTGACCAATTGCACTGAGTAGAAAAAAGTGTAACGAAACTTCGCTACGCTTCATGTAGGGCAGTGGGATGTCTCTAAATACGGGTTTTGTTCAGTTTTGTGGTGACGGGTCGGTCCTCTCCCGTCCCCCGGAAAAGTTTCAATGAGTTATTTTCCCACAAGAACTTCTTTTATAGAAAAAATAACGATTGAGGAGGATTCCTTGGACTTAAAATTGTGGCTTAGCATTCCCGGATTTTCGAAATAGGTTCGTAAAATAGGCAGGCAGGCTAAAATGTGTATCAGTGCGTCCCGGTCGTGTCTTCTGCTGGTCGCGACCGGGCCGCGGCCGGGCCGTGGCGAGCCGCTCGAGACTTGGTCCCAGCCGCCCCTACGGAGTTTCTACCCGCTGAGGCAGCCTAGCGCCGCAGGCCAAGGTAGGTACGCCAGGCGCGGATTGGAGAAACAGGCAGCGACACATCGCGAAGCCTGTTACGACAAGACGCGGTCTGGCGTAAACCTACCTTGTCTTTAGTTTACGAACGATCGTAATTTATCTATTGAGTATGTCTTGCAGTTATGACTTCAGTCGTACATTTACGAATCTTATCGTAAATTTGTGTAAAGAATCGTAAATGAACGACACAAATCGTAAATAAGCGAGCAAAATTGCAACTTTCATCAACTTTTCGGGGAATTCAGATTTCAAAATATGTAATCGCGATTTCGACATTGTCGTCGAGAAATGATTATTTTGTCGTTCAGTTACGACCAAGTAGTTTCAGAACGATTCTTGTCGCTATCAAAATTAGCGACGTTTTTGTCGCTAATTTACGACAAAATTTCTGACAGTGTACCGTTCCGCCCCGTTTTCGCGCCACTCGCACCAACTTGCTCCCTTGCGTTTGAGTCTCTGCTACCTCTTTTCAATCGTTTTCCTGTCACGAATGAATCTGAAATATTATCCTACACGTGTTGACAACACATTCTTGGTGTTAAATCAGATTAGATTGTCCTCAAATTCAAATTTAGCCGGTCAAAAAAACGACCGGCACTGACCACTTATCCGGTTCCGTTTTGAACCAACCCCCAACCGTTCGAAGTGCGTGATCGCCATTGCGTGTCGAGAAGCCTTGTGTGTCGTTGTGTCAAGTAGCGTTGTTGTCAATTTTTTTCTAAATCATGGACTCTTCGGACTTTCTGGAAGAGGACTTGCAATTATCGGAGAGCTCGTCTGACCCCTTATCTGTCGGAATGAATCTCTCCCAGGAGATTCACGCTGAGGTGAGTTTTTTGAATTGTGTGAGTTCGTTTTCGCCGTCGTTTCGCTGCTCGCCCCTCAGGCCCTCGCCTTTTTGGCTCTTTTTGAGCTTTCGTCTTGCTAATCCTGTGTGTTCCCTGTCGCGTCGTGCTCGCGGCGATCTCAAATTCATGAGGGAAGTGTTATTTCCGTGTGTGCTAAGTGTGTAAGCGGGGCGTTGGCGCGTCGGGCCGTTCGGGGCAGGGATGCGAAGGCCGGAAATTTTTCTTGAAAAATATGAAAAATATGAAAAATTTCATATTTTTCCTGAAAAGTTTCTAAGCTTTATTTTTCATTGAGATTTTGTGAAAAATATTTTTTTGACTAGTTTTGATGTTTTAAGAACTGATAAGGGAAAACTAATATTGAAGGCGCTTAAATAGCTCATTTTTGGCCCGCCCTTCTATTCAAAAAATAGGGGGAGGGCCTATGCATTTGCCTTTGTGTCTGTGTGTTGTTGTTGTTGTTGTTGTTGTTGTTGGCGTCTGTGTACAAGGAAGGAGTTGAGCTAGAGTAACCAGATTTGGAGGGTACTTCAGGAGTACCATCCAAACAAATAATCCGGTGGTGCAAATCCCGTCCGGGTCGCACAAGGGCTGCTGCAGGTGCATCATGGTTTACATGAGCGGGAGGGGGATTTCCGCCATTATTGGTGCTAGCAGGGCACATAGGGGTATTTTTGGAATCGGGGCGACGAGACAAGATGAATGGACCTGGTCCCGACCCCATCGGCCGCTTTTACAAGTTGGCCAGATCAGGATCTTCGAAAAAGGGGGTCGACCGACTAAAAAAATTTATTGCAGATTTCGACTGGTCTCAGCAAGACCTTTTCAACGAGGGGTCGGAAAGGGGGTCCAGGAGCCCGACTTCGTCTATTAGTCACATCAGGATCTTGAAAAAAGGGGGTCGACCGACTGAAAAATTTTACTTAAGTTTTGGATAGGTCTTGGCAAGACCTCTTCAACGAGGGGTCGGAAGGGAGGTCCAGGAGCCCGCCTTCATGAGTTATGGGAAAAAGTGCGACGGACTCGTTTTGCGCTCCTGCTGTGCCTCTATTGCAAGGAGTTGCAGTAGCATGGCAAATATGGGTATTTTCGGAATGAGGGCGAAGAGACAAATGAAATGGGCATATTCTAAGGACAGTTGGAGTAAAAAGTGTAAGGACTATTGCATATTGTGAATAGAAGGGTGGGCCTAAGTCACGATGGTACATCGATAACTTTGCTTTACCCGCTCACGGTGTGTGTGATGCGAGCGGGCCGAAGGCCCGGGCCTTCGACTGTCCAAGTTGGGTCTGATGCGAGCGCCGAAGGCCCGAGAAAAGGCCGCCGGCAGGCCAAGCTGGGCCGGCCCCCTGTCGAACCGAGTTGCCGGCGCAGCGAAGCGGAGCTGGCAACTCGGTTCGACGGAAGGGCGGGCCCTAGCTTGTTAATTTTTAGGCAGTGCAACAACCTTTTAGACAAGTAGAAGGTGCATTTAAAAGGGTGAGAGGAACAAAATGATACAATTTGTTATGAAACTTTCTTATTTTTTATATATAAAATCACATATGGCACAGGCACAATGGCACGGTTACATTCAACATAAACTCACAACCAGATTTCAGTACAGATTAGACAAGCTAAGAAATAACTTAGAATTAAATTAAAATCTATTAATTACAAGTCAGTCAAAACAATGAAGAATAAAATACTTAAATAGTATATGCAAGGGGAACATCATCATCGGACTCCTCTTCTGAGTCTGAGACAGAATAATCACTACCATTTAACTCGGACTCATCCCACTCTATCTACAACATCATCAACATTTTCTATGTTAGAGTTCACATCATAAGTTCCAAATGGATTTTTGGCTTTTTTCTTTGGAGGTTCATGAATTCCATTTGAGCTGAAGCGCATGTTGCTTTTAATGGCAACTTGCTTCTGGGCCCTTTCTTTCAAAATCCTATTTTTGGTCTTTGTATGAACAGAGCTGAATGTGGACCAGTTACGCTCACATGGCGCAGAGGTAATTGGTACATTGAAAACTCTAGCGGCTATGGGAAATAACGGTTGCTCAGTACAGAAACCTCCCCACCATGTAGCAGGGGTGGTGTGGGCAGCAGCTTCCCAAATATTTTCATCACCAAAAGAACCAGTTTTGGTCCTAAATGCAGCCAGATTGCCAAGCACTTCTCCCTTGTTGAGTTCAAGATGTATACACTGTTCACTAATGAAGCGGATAGCGTCTTGCTTCTCCGTTTGGTCCAAATCTTTCCCCATTCTCATTGGATGCAACAAATTAGCAGCAAAATGTACATTAAAACAGCATTTATACATTCTGTCTACCACAGCTGAGTTAACTACTGTTTTCTCTTCACCTGTTAGCAATGAGAAGGTTGCTAATACTTCTTCAATATCATGACTAACTTTTTTTGTTAGAAATGGCAAATCAGACAGAAGAGCAGTATCACTTTCAACATGAGATATTGCTTTTGCAATAGGAACTAACAAATTGTAACAGTCAGTTACAGAGACCCAAAACCCTGCATTGTCAAGAACTAACTCTCTCACTGTACTGTCAATGGCAAGTTCCTCTTCTATTACAGTGGACTGCAGTGCAGCTTTGTTACTTATCAGAGAGTACAGTGAAATTACAAAGAAAAACCACCTTGTTTTGGGAGGGAGTTAAGGGTCACAGCTTTGTTCCCATGTCTTACTTTTTGCTCGGCTTTAAAAAATGCCCCTAGAACATGGTGATTCTTGAACTGTTTGATAACTTTTTTCACATTACAACGCAGTTCTTTTAGAGAGTCAACTTTCATGATATCACCTAGTAAAAGATTTAACATATGAGCAGGGCAACCAATACAGACAATGTGGGGATATTTTTCTCTCACTATGTCCCATGCAGCTCTCATGTTGGCAGCATTATCAGTTATTACAATAAAAATTAATTTCACATCTGTTCCATCACTAACTACCTCATCAATAACATTTATGATTTCTTTACCAATGTAAGATGCCGTTTCTTTATCTTTACCAGGAGTTATACTTTTAAAAAAGACTGGCAAAGGTGTAGTCAATAGGAAATTTATCAAACTCTCATTTCTGTTATTAGTCCAACCATCAGAGATTATAGCTATACAAGGAGCTGCTTTTATTTTCTTTTTTGCAGATACCATTACACCATCATACTCCTGGTTGAGGAGAGGAGTACCAATCTGATGCCGACTAGGTGGCTTATAAGAAGGCCGGAGTAGATTCAATGCATGCTTCCAATATACATTTTCAAAAATGTTAAATGGAACACTAGGAGTCATACTGCTCTGGCTAAAGCTTTATCAAACTTCACCTTTAACCGTTCAGAAGTAGATACAACAAATCTATCCATTGATCCGTTTGAAGAGTGAGAAGTGGAGGGTTTGTCACTGGTTCGACAGGTTGAGCTAGGAGGCGAAACTGATCCAGTTGTTTCAGATGTTGCTTGTGGTCGTGCACTTTCCAAAGCGGCATCTTCATCTTCACTGTCTGAACTATAAATAGTTTTCCGTTTCTTTGACGATCCCTGTGAAAGACCAAACAAAAATAGAAAATGAAATGTAAAAGAAAATATAATAGGGCAGGTCTAAGTAATTGTAAATTAACTGAACAAACCTGGTTTAGTTTACTGGCAGCAGTTTTCTTCAGAGAGGCTGATGCCTGTTTTCAGAGGCAATATGTTCCACCATTCGACTAGCATTGGCCCTCGATGACTTCCAGAAGCAATATGAGCAAACGACACTTTTGGTGCCCTTGTCAGTCCCATTCCCCGTTACTTCAAAATGCGACCAAATAAACGATTTCTTTCGTCCCATCTTCCTGAAGAAGATGTTAGAACATAGAAAAATAAAACAAAACGATAAAAATAAAAGTCCCCTAACCTCACTTGTGGTTACAAAGTGAAATAGGCTGGGGATCAAGATACCGAAAACGGCACAATCCACTTTAAAATGTTTGACACACAGAAGAAAACTATCTTAAAAACGACACCAAAGGTAAACTTACAGAAATCGCAGGTGCTTTGTGCTTTGCCTGTATGTATTGCCGCTCGGCGGCGGCGTCGGCGTCCCGCTCTTTCACTCCTTCCACACAGCCACCGCAACCACACTCCTCCCCGCCTATCCGCCCTCCGCCCCTCCCCTATACGCAGGTAGTAGCACTTATTCGCAGTGACGAAGCCACCCGCCACTTATTTAAACGTGATAGTGTGTACAGTGATTGACGAAGGACACGTTGACACCAGGGAAACACAGGAACAGACGAAATAACGCATTGAAAAGGCAAATCACTATTTTATATGCAATTTTAGAGCAAAAAGTATATTTTTCAAAAAATTCCATATTTTTCTGAAAAATATAAAATATTTCACGTCAATTATTCAAAAAAAAGTTCCGCCAAGGCAAGCTTAGCAAAGCGGTCTTGCCGTGGACCGGCAGGGGAGGTCGGGCAGAGAGGGGGCAAGGAGGGGGGGGGGGGCTGTGAGGAGTGGGGACTGGCGCGGCGAGGCGGCGCGGCGAGGCGGCGCAGGACGACGACAGACGACGACGACCAACACGACCATGCAGTCCCCTCCCAGCGCGCTGAATGGATGGATGGATGGGATGGGATGAGTGGGATCGGATGCAGAGCTACACTGTTAAAAAAAATCTTAAAATTCAGACCAATTTTGTAAGACCTGGTGGTCTGATTTCTTAATTAAGACCAGAAGTATTCAAAAGAAGAATCCTCGGATGAATTTTAAGACTTTCGCAGTCTGAAAAGCAAATTCAGACCCTCCAGACAAAAAGTCTGACAGGGGTGACTGAAAATTCAGACTAAGTACAAGACCATGTAGTCTGAATCGCCTTTTCAGACTATTCTCCTGAAAAGGAAGACCGATTGATCTTAAATTTCAAACTGGTTGTGTATTTTCAGACCATGGGTCTGAAACGGGAGACGTATTGTTCTGAAATGTCAGACTGGTTGCCTCATTTGACCAAATTTAACCGCAATATTTGAGCGCTCGATACAGAATCTTAAATATTCACGAACAGCCCAAATTGCCCGCAGTTTAACTCCCGCAACGCGCGCTTGGTTTGTTTATTTGTGGCCTCCCAGCGTCCAGCGAGCGCGCTTGGAGTCATCGGCATCCTGCAGCCGTGCTCTCAGCGCGGTCCCGTGGTGTAATGGATAGCCCGCAAAGCCGACGAGCGAGGATTCGATGGTTCGAATACCAAGACATTCGGAGTTTCCGAGTAAAGAGAACGGCCGATAAGTTACGCGCAAGTTCTATCAAAGACTTCTCTCGCAAAAGAGTGAAGGTTCAACGTTACAATTTTGTGCTTTTGTCTGAATTTTCTTCAGACTGGCCGTGTCCAATAATTCAGACCACCTAAATCTTAATTTTCAGACCACCCAATTCTAAACTTTGAGACCACCCTATTCTAAATTTTCAGACCGCCGAAATGGTCTGAAATTTCAGAACCCCTTACTGTTAATTAACTTCAGTCAAATTTTGTCTGAAATTTCAGAATATTTTTTTTACAGTGTAGAAGCGGTAGCAAGACCGCTTAAAACTATTTTTCATGAAATTTTGCATCCCTAGTTCGGGGTCGCACGTGGTTTGGAGGTTGGAATCTTTCTGGCTAGTTGATTATTAGTTCTGGAGCTTCGGCGTGCGTTTCCGAAGCGAGGCGCGTTGAAATTCTCCCGAAATTCCGAAAACTTTGGCGAAAATCTGTCTGCGCAATGTGTCCTTCCCCCTGTGGAAAACAAAGTAGCTCGTAACGTTTTCGTGTCGGCTGCTTGTTCTGGCGCAGCGGCGAGCGATTCCGAAGCGAGGCGTGGTAAAATTTTCTCGAAAATCCGAAAACTTGACTGAAAATTGGCCGAAATGGTGTGCATTTTGGCTTTCCTTTCGAATGTAATCACGTGCGTTTCTTGTGCCGTACCAATGTTTTGCTCAGTGAATCGTTAGCCAGGGCCTTGCCCTCGCTGTGCCGGAGCGAGGTGCGTGAAAATTTGATCAGAAAATCCTGTATTTTTGCGTGTTTTCCTCCCGTCTTCGACAACAAGAGGGCACCAGGCGCCCCCACCAGACCTCCCACCGAGCCCGCACGTGTAAGTGTTCTGTCGCTACTCCCCGTTGAAGTTTTGGGGTGCGTGGAGTATTGACACTCTTGTCCTTTTCTGTTTGCAGCGCCCCGTCAAGGAGAGGCTGGGACCGGCACTAGGCTTCAATCCCCAGGGAATGGCTGCGGCTGAACCCCCCCAACCCTCTTCTTGCCATCCTAGATAACTTGGAACGCCAAGTACATCTCCAGCAAGTCATGCTTGATGCCCTCAAGCAGCAGCAAGACCTTCTGAGGAGTCAAATCCTGATGCAGCAGCAGCAGCCAGTCAATCTTCGTTAGTAGGGTGGGTCGAAAATCCCAGAATTAAGCGGCGTATGGTTTTGTTTGCAGTTGACCATATTAGAAAAGAGATCCCACAATGCTGGGGTCTGGTGACGTCACCTTCCATCTCTTTGGAGGCTCCCAACTTGGGTCTAATAGTGAAAAATTGCATTTTTGGCCTTACAGGGACCAAACCATGGATCGCCCAGGATGCGGCTATCTCGCGATGGGTGCGGAATATGTTCCTTTATATTCCTGCAAAGTCTGGGCGATGTGGCTCAACATCTTGGTTAAGCCCGGGCACTTGTTTTAACGCTAAAACAAAGTTGCAAAACACTAAAAATTGGATTTAAGGGTCTATTGTTTACTCAAAGGTCCCAGATACTTATATGAATGGAAAGGGCTCAAAAGATGCAATTTTTTGGTATGTATAACTTTGTGATCGGACGAAAATTGTTCCCAGGGCAAAACTTTACACATTTCAGCAAAAGCTCAAAAACACTAAAAAGTGATCTTTAGGAGAATATGTATTGCCTGTGAATCCAATATGATTATACAGTTCGAAAGATCTAAAAAAACGCAAAATTTTGGCATATAAAGTTTTGTGATTGAACAAAAACTCGATTTGTTGTTAATTATAAAAGAAAGTGTAAACGTTCGTCGGGCCATCTCTTGACTCGCACGGGCTTTGCTTCGCTTTGCTTGTTAATTATTGCAAAAATTGCATTTTTTGAGCCCTTTCCATTCATATAAGTATCTGGGACCTTTGAGTAAACAATAGACCCTTAAATCCAATTTTTAGTGTTTTGCAACTTTGTTTTAGCGTTAAAACAAGTGCCCGGGCTTAACCAAGATGTTGAGCCACATCGCCCAGACTTTGCAGGAATATAAGTAAAGGAACATATTCCGCACCCATCGCGAGATAGCCGCATCCTGGGCGATCCATGGTTTGGTCCCTGTAAGGCCAAAAAGCCATTTTTCACTATTAGACCCAAGTTTGGAGCCTCCAAAGAGATGGAAGGTGACGTCACCAGACCCCAGCATTGTGGGATCTCTTTTCTAATATGGTCAACTGCAAACAAAACCATACGCCGCTTAATTCTGGGATTTTCGACCCACCCTATTCGTTAGTCTGCCCAGCCACCACCACCGCCTCATGAAGAGGAAGAGGAAGGGCCATGGAAACGGCGAAGGACTAATCAAAAATGAGTACCGTCAACGGGGGTAACTTGGGACACTTTTTCACGTTTTTTGAACGCCAGAGGCAAGATTCTCAACCCAGACCATTGGATCCTAACTATGTTAAAGTTTGACCCTTTCCCCATCATTTCATACTTGTCTGGTTCATTTGCCTCGATTATATTGTTTCCAAGCGGTCTCGAAAGAGTGTCCCAAGTTACCCCATGACCGGGGGTAACTTGGGACAGTAGGTAACTAGCTACATTCCCATGCATCTATTGATGTTAATGGATGTAATAAATTTAAGTCACAACATGTAGACCAAGAATTCAGGCCTAGGAACTCTTGTAGGACCGATATTGGACTATATCTAGGGTTCTACGTGGAACTCTCTTTTCTACTGGTATTTTCTAGGCATTTTCTGAAAATTTCAAAATATGGATTACCAGAAGACAAATCTGCAGAGCAAGGCATCCCTTTCCATCATCAGCGTAAAATCCGAAGTTTATGTTATGTCTGTTACCGGGTCAGTCAACTCCTTGGAGGCTAGAACTGCTGGAAACATGAGGAAAAGACTGTCCCAAGTTACCCCGTAAAATTTCGATTTTTGATAAAATGCAGGGTGGACCGAATATGGGCAAACTATAATCAACGCCCTTTTGCGAACGTTATTGTCTGTGTATGATCTAACAGCCCAGAGAGACTAATCGGCCAAATCTGCATTTCACTCCTCGCACTAAGGTCAACTTGTTAAGGTTTGACATATTTGTCAAAAACCCTATTATGTAGTTTCCCGTTTCTCAAATACTAATTGTGATGTTATGCGCCTTTTCTACCTTTCCGCGCGTGCCCTGATGCCTCTGAAACGAAACCCTGCCGCGGGTTTGACGCTAGGAACCCCCGTCGCTGAATGGCAGCACCAACAAGCTGTACAGGGCAGACTGTCCCAAGTTACCCCCGGTGTCCCAAGTTACCCCCGTTGACGGTAAGTTATTTTTCCCGTCTTATTTTAGTGAGTTATTTTTTTTTGCTGTGTACTATGTTCACTTACGAGGCTTGTTCTCTTTTGTTTCAGACTGACTGATTGGTTTTTTAGTCGAAAGACTG